ATGATGATGATGATGATGATGATGATGATGATGATGATGATGATGATGATAATATTGATTTTTTTAAACGGATAATCATACAATCTCACTACTTTTTACAATAGGATTTTTAATATATTATTAGTTAAAAATGAAAAAATATATTTATATATACAGTCAATGTCATTAACGTTGTCCACCGAAAATAGACATTTAGACATTTACACATTAGACATTTAGACTAAAAGAAATATCACGTGTTTCCTCGAACGTTCTGTCATAAAACAAACGCTGAAATACAATTCTCCATCTTAAATCCTCACTAAATGGTCGGGACATTCTGGATTTTCGATTCACGAGTTGAATTTTACATTTAAAGTTCAGGCTGACGCACACGAGGCAAAGAATACATAATGAAACACGTGATATTTCTTTTAGTCTAAATGTCTAAATGTGTAAATGTGTAAATGTCTTTTTTCGGTGGACAACGTTAATGACATTGACTGTATGAGAAGTGCACTAGAATAAATATGAGGTAAGAAATCATCGAGGACAACTGTAATATATATAACATGATATGCATGTATACATATACACATTGTACATACATACACACACCACACACATACATATATATTATATATATATATACGTTTATATACACTCTAAACCATATATATGTACATGCCATAGACCTAACAGTAAAATGTATATAATCTATAAAAGAATAATTAAAGCAAAATAACCTTTAAATCATCAAGGACAACTATAATACTTTTAAAACAAAAATGTCTTAAGATTGGACAAAAAGTTTCAAAAGATTTTATGGCGAATTTTTTAAGTCAATTGGTTGATTTCATTGCAATATGCAACTAACTTTACAAAATGTCTTGTAGGCACGACCACTACTGAGATTATAAATCATCGTTACGTCAACCCTGATGGCCTGCACTGTGAATACCTTGTGCGTAAGATATTGCGTAATCTATATAAACCTGTGACAGAGTCACCAAAACCACCTCCTCCAACCGTTAGTAAAAGAGGCCGTACACTACGACCCAAGATTAATTTGAACTTGGATGATGAAGAAGAAGAAACTATAAAGAAAGGACCAAGGGTCGTTGAGGAATGGTGTCCTGAGGTGAGGTTGAATCTCTGTGTCATTATACATGTATATGTAAAATTCATTTTTCCATTTACAAAAATGGTTAGACCTTCAGGTGGGTCAGATGACCACTTTAAATCGCGGTTTCGTCTCTCCACACTTCATCATTACTAACCAATATCGGAGGGACGTAGAACCACTGAGGACGTTCAAACACGTGACGTCATTTACACGCGTGTGTGATTCAAAAGGCGCCAAAACTTGTCGATTGTTTACAAGTATTATAAGCCACACTCACCGGGCCGATCCAAACGCGTGTAAATGACGTCAACGTGTTTGATTGACGGCAGTCTATTGCAAAGTGCATGTCGCGATTTTTATCTGGGGTGACTGCGTAGCAATGCAAACGGCGGTAAGAAAGAACTTGATCCTGGCTGATGTATTCAATTAGGGTTATTAATCTTTCATTGTAGGAAAAGCTGGAATTATGGGAAATTCGACAATATAATGAGCGCAAAGAAAGAGAGCGAGCACTGGAGAGAGAAAAGAAAATGCAGGAAGAGGCTCTAAGAAAAGCAGCTGAACTGAGAGCAGCAGCCATTCAGCGTAAACAACAAGAACAACAAGCTAAACAACAACAGCAAATCATGAAAAAGAAAGTTCAAAATGCCATCAAAACACAACAGAGAAAGCTTTCAAATGTTAACCAGAATGTTAGTCGATCGATAGTCAACACGACCTTTAGATCCGTTGTAAGTACATCACCAAGCACAACTCAAGTCCTACAGACGTCTGTTGCTAGACAACCGTTACCAAGGATAACGAATCTAGTGACTCAGTACAGGCCGTCTTCTCTAAGCCAGCCAAGGGTTCCTGTTGCTTCGCCTGCTACTGTGGTTCGTCAGGTTACTAGGCCTCAGATCAATTATAGACCCCTAGCAACCACTGTCCAATCAAAAGCGACTTTGTCTACAGGTGAGAATATTGCTAAACAATTGCCCTATTTCACTATGACGTCACATCAAAACAGTCTATTGTTTAAACGCAAAGGATCATGGTCGTCGGAGGGGGTCGAATCAACGCAAATTCACCGAAAATTGTTCTAAAACCCGTATCGATCCACGAAGAGAAGTAGAATAGCCAGCCAACGCTCAGAATATTTTTTAGTACATATTAACACATATTATATCTGAAAACCAGGCCATTTTAGTTTAAATTGTTTCGCTAGGAACAAATTTTGTTGAATTTTCTATTGGATTTGGCGATTCTATCCCCCACATAAACAAGCAGTGACGTCATAGTGAAATAGGGCAATTGATGGGTTGTAAGTATTCCCAAGAGAGTCAAAAGACAAAAACATGGCGGCCATTGTGGTGCCGTTAACAATGGATGCTGATGAGAAATCTTTTGTTAAATGGTACCAACATGGCCGCGATGACGTAACGTGCACTCGAAGATATGGGCTCACTCCCCTGTACTGAGAGGGTTTTTCTCCAGGTTTTCCTCTTTTCGCAATAATCATCTTTAGAATTCCAAATCGATTATGTAATGAAGGAGACAAGGTTTTTAAAGTGGTATCCTCAATTATTATGTTATTCTAACTGCTATACAGGTACGAAAGTCGTACATACTTCCCAACCTGTTATTAGAAGCTCTTCATCTACCAATCACGCGCCTAAAATGAAGCATTCGTCCAAAGAACTCCAGCAAGCAAAACAGCAGATTGCCAAAGCAAAAGTCAAGAAATCTGGTGCAGGTGGTGCGCAGAATGCAAACAGAAAAGCTACATCCCTCGAGTCAAGACAGGACATGAACAGGTAATATTATCATTACTGTCTTTGGAAAACCATTTCAGTGTTACGGCATGTCGTACCTTGTACGTGCTTTGAGACAGAACAATACGTTTACCACTCATTATGGGAAGCTATTTCAGTGTCACGGCATGTTGTACCGTGTACGTGCTGTAAGTCAGTACCGAACCTTTACCACTCATACGATAACCATTCTTATGGGAAGCCGTTTTAATGTTACGGCGTGTCGTAACATATAAGTGCTGTAAGTCAGTACCGAACCTTTACCACTCGTACGATAACCATTCTTATGGGAAGCCATTTCAGTGTTATGGCATGTCGTACTATGTAAGTGCTGTAAGTCAGTACCGAACCTTTACCATTCATATGATCATTTTTATGCGAAGCCATTTCATTGTTACGGCGTGTCGTACCATGTACGTCCTGTAAGTCAGTACCGTATCTTTACCACTCATACGATAACCATTTTCATGGGTAGCCATTTCAGTGTTATGCCATGTACCATGTACGTCCTGTAAGTCAGTACCGTATCTTTACCACTCATACGATAACCATTCTTATGGGAAGCCATTTCAGTGATACAGCATGTCGTACCGTGAATGTACTGTAAAGCATTGTATGTTTCCTATTTATAACCATTCTTATGGAAAGCCATATTATTGTTACGGCATGCATGTCGTACCGCGCATGCGCTATAAGTTAGTTCCGTGTGTCCCATTTCGGACCGGGTCTCTTAATGTTTAATTTTTTTTCAACAGAATGTCGGCATGTCACAAAGCCATAGATTACATAATCAGTAAAATAGAACGAAATGAAGAACTAGAGAGACAAAGAGAAGCGAAACGAAAAGCTGTGGTCGAAAAACAAGAGCGAGCGAGGGCTGTCAAACTTGACGGAATTCTTTACAAGAGAAAAGAAATTTTAAAGAAAGAGGTAATAATCCAATGGTATTATGTGGATGATATATGCATAGATACTTATGCTATATTAAATTCTAATCAAATACAACTAGTCGGTCATATATATAGATGTAATCGAGTTTTCAATCAGTTAAATTTAATGTTCTGGTTTTCAAAGTCGGCACTTGTCGCTACTACTAGGCTATTACTTATAACCTAGTAGTAGCTCAACCAATCAGAACGCAGCATTGACTTATAGCCCATTTGGGATCCAGGAGTAATTGCTAGTTATACTATATTGACCACTATGCATCATGTTGTACTGTTATAATATTATGGAAACCCATTGTGATTGGTCCTTGTGGTGTGGTAGATAACACATCGATTGGACTAGCATACCAAATACTTGGAACGGCATATGAAATTTTTCTCTTGATGTTTATGTTATTATATAGTTTACTCGACGTTTTGACACACACTGGAGTCATTATCAAGAGTGAATACACCAAATTCAAAAAACATTGTCATAGCCAAAGGCGATAGGCGATAGGTCATTCCAAATTGGAAATGGTTTCGTTGAATACAAAGAACATTGAATCAGTCTCAGCATGAAGGTCCATGTTCTTGACGAGAATAAGAAGCGGAAACACAAGTCATTCCAGCTATTCTTGGATCTTGGATTGACATATATCCTATCGCTTTTCGCCTATCTCCTATTGCCTTTGGCGATGACAACATTTTTTGAATTAGGTGTATACATTATGACAATCAAATATAAATACTGTACATCAAAAAAAGAATTTTTTGTGTTATGGTTTTGTTCTTAGATTATTCGTAAGCGAGCACAACTTGAGAAAGAACTGACCGTCGAAATAGAAAAAGAGATAAAAAAAGATCAAAAATCACGGAAAGACACAGCACGAAAGAGGAAACGGGACAGTGAGAGCACACCTGAAGGTCCGTCCATCAAAAAACACAAGACAGATCAACTCTATTGTGTGTGCAGAAAACCTTATGATGAAACCAAGTATGTCATACTATGTACTAGTTATACCATGGGGACTAATAGAGGGTTGGAAGGTTGTCATACTATATACTAGTTATACCATGGGGACTAAAAGAGGCCTGGGGTTCGTACGTGTGAGGTACTATTTAAGTAATGGTTGATTGACGTATTTCAGGTTTTACATTGGATGTGACATGTGTGCTAACTGGTTCCACGGTACGTGTGTTGGAGTAACCCCTGAACAAGCAGCCATCATGGATGACTTCACCTGTATGGAGTGTAAAAAGGCACAAAAAGGAGTCGAGAAAGAAGAGCTCTACTGCTTGTGCAAACAGCCTTACGATGAAGCCAAGTAAGAGTGTTGTATCTTTTCTACCTCTCTTTAACATATAGCATATATAGTACCCACGCTCTGATTGGCCAATAAGTGTACTTTATTAGTAAACGAAGCATAGCTGTGACGCCGTCTGTGCGTGCGCATACTACTTTGCAAAGAAGTGTAAGAAGCCAACCTTGGAAATTGGGTGCGTGCGTGGTGTGTGCAGTTATAAAGCACACGGGGGTTGGCAGTGAAGAAGTGTTCCAAGAAGCACGATGCTTAACGGAGTGAGTACTTCTAGACAGTTATCGAGTGTGTTCTGCCAATCCCCAAGTGCTTTATAACACCACACAACACAGCACAGCGCAGCAAGCAAGTTTTTTTCTTTTATAAAATACAAATTACGATAACCGTATTTTTAGATAGGAATGACGCAACTGAGAGTGCGCGCGCGTGCTCTGTGCTATCATAAAGCACGCGCTCCAACCAATCAGAACGCGAGGTTTATAACATTATAACAGTTATTTTAAACCTGTTTTATTAATTGTTATCATATTATCTTGTTTGTCAAGGTTTTATATCGGTTGTGACTCGTGCCATGACTGGTTTCATGGTACGTGTGTGGGGATTAGTGAATACCAGGCCAATCTACTGACATCCTACGTATGCCCGCAATGTAAGGAAAGCCAGTCAGAAAGAGACGTGCAACCGCTGACCAAAAAAGATCTTGACTCACTTAAACGACTGCTACGATCACTACAAAGTCACAAGATGGCGTGGCCTTTCCTAGAACCTGTCAATGCCGATGAAGTAGTTGATTATTATCAAGTTATCAAGGACCCAATGGGTAAGTTGTCAAGGACCCAATGGATACGTTATTAGGGACCCAATGGGTAGGTTATCAAGGACCCAATGGGTAAGTTGTCAAGGACCCAATGGATACGTTATTAGGGACCCAATGGGTAGGTTATCAAGGACCCAGTGGGTAGGTTATCAAGGACCCAATGGGTAGGTTATCAAGGACCCA